TATATGTGTATATGAATATATCTATATATTTGTATATATGTGTATATGAATATATGTATATATGTGTGTATATGTATATATGAATATATCGATATGTGTATATATGTGTATATGAATATATACACATATGTGTATATGTATATGTGAATATATCTATATGTGTATATGAATATATCTATATATGTGAACATATGTATATATGAATATACAGTATCTATATATGTGAATATATGTATATATGAATATATCTATATATGTGTATATATGCACACACATTTATATGCATGGGTACGGGTCAGCAATGTGTATGTAAATATATATATACATATATATATATACATACACATATATTTGAAACGATGGAATTTTCCGACAACATCCAGACCACCACATACATCCTGCTGCTGTGGTTTGCCCTGCCACTAAAAGCCCCGTTTGTCTCTGGAGGGGCGTTAGCGTAGACCCTGCGATCAATGGTCTGATCGATGACGTGAAGGGAGTCCAGTTTCAGTCGCTCAACAAACCTAAGTCCTAAAACTAAAACAACTGGACTCACAGTCACAGCTAGGTGTCGCTGCTGGTCTGAGGTCAGCGACAACTCTACGACGTGAAACCATCGGGGCAGCGTTCAAACTCTCCTTTTTAAAACACTCCATGTGACTGGCGCGGACGATAAGTCAAGGGCATGATGGGAGATATCTGGGGGTTGCTAGGTGACCAGACCCCCAGTAGTAGGGGTTGTTTATGTTTATGCCCGATCTAACTGGTCCAGGTCCAGGGGCGGACCAGAGTCCGGTTGACTTTGACAGAGAGCGTTTGTCTTTGTGAGTGTTTGTCCAGACGAGGACAAGGAAACGATGTCGTTAGCATCGCAATGGAGGTCGTTAGTGCAGGTCACTGATTCGGAACACAGTGAAGAAACACAAAGAGCGGGTCCTGAGAACACACAGACCTTAGCCTCAGATTTATAACCAACCACACACGCGGTTACACTTCCTGTAAATTCCACGTTGCAACCATCGTCGGCATATACGCGTCAGACGGAGACAGCGGTAAAACACTATTTCTTCTCTGATTACAAACTTCAGGGCTCTTTTCCCTGAAGTCTTAAATGCTGGTTGCAGAACTGCCTTTTCTAGAACCTGAATTTAAAAAAAAAAAAAAAACACGCTGGAAGAGAGGGCATCTGATTGGACCATGTGCATGACTGACAGCTAACAGCTAACTGTTTAATATCATATACAGTATATAGCATATGATATTATCGTGGATGTCCGATAGTACCACCGAACCAATATTGTCATCCGATATTAGCATATGCAACATCGGTAAAAATGGTGATCGTTTTTTTTCCCCAAAAACCCGATAACGTAATGCCTGCGTTTCGCCCTAGAAATAGTTCAGAAGTGAAAGTGAAAGTAAATTGTTGTCATTGTGACACAGCACAGCTCTGCATATATCGGTAATGGTATATATCGGAATTTTAGCGTTCAGACAATATTGACATATCGGATATCGGCAAAAAGCTAAATATACTACTGCATATAATTGAACCGTTATTTTAACGATGACCTCAAAGACTGCGGCGACCGCACGCAACCTTCGATTTTGCTGTCAATCCACCGGGCGGTGGTGCAGTGTAAAAAACATTGGCCCAGTGATAGAGTACGCAGCAGTGTGTTGACCTCTGATCTGGTATTTTATTTTTCCGAAACTGACGTGCAGTTTCTCAACCTGTGGGTCCTGTATGAAGATAGGGTTCGGTGCTAAGTTTTGATGCTAAACGCTAACGGAAGCTACACAGCGGGACAATCAAAGCGGGAACTGTTTTTTAACCTTTTTTAACCTCAGATCGGGAAATCACAAGAAGCGGCCGTTAGAGTTAGCACGTGTGTGTGTGTGTGCGTGTGTGTGCGTGTGTGTTCAGCAG